CTGAGCATTCGTTTCAACTCTGCAGCCAAAAATCCGCTTTTATCTAAAGTTACAAACATATTAAAATTTTCTTGAATAATTAAAATGTTAATGCTCTGGTTTCTGAAAATCACAAAACGTTTTTTAGGCGGTTCATAAATCAATTAAAATGCCAGTGTAGACACACATGGAATATAATAATATTTGTATGTTTGTCAGCATTTAAATTTTTTGTATAATGGAAAATTGGCTTCGGGGAAAGCAAAGTTGTTTCGCAAATTTTCCAGCAAGTTAATTTTAAATAATTTTCGGCGCAGATAATCATGTTTATGCATCAAATGGAAATTTTTTATTCGAGAGCAATAAATTTTTAAAAATGCGAACTGATATGTTGTGCAAAATACGAGTACATACATACTTATAGCTAAACATGTGACTTGCGTGGGAGTTTGCCAAATTATTGTTCGTGAAACTAATATGATTGCCAAATTTTTAAAATCACCAATAATTTTGTTAGATAGAAGCGCGAATATTATTTTTGGAAAAAAATTAAATTTACTAAAAACCATTATTTATACGCTTTCATACATTTATGTGTATTTTTATGCATTTCTAACTCGTCAGCGCATTAAAATGCAAATTTAAAAAAAAATTAAAATACTATTATAAATTAAACATTTTTTTTGGTTTGCGCTAGTTTGGTTATCTGATGCACCCTTTCTCATTCAAATTATATTTGCTGTTAGTGGTTATCATTGGGTTTTTGTAAAAGCATCTAAAATGCTGCATACAGACTTTATGTTTATTTATACTGCGTATGATATATAGATCTATTAAAAGAAAGCATTAGAATCTTCGTTAAACTTATAGCGCTGAATGAGAAAAGGATAATTAACAACACTAATTTGGATTTAGATTCTATTCATTATATATTTGCAAATTTTGATTACCAGGAAATAATACACATTGGTCGGTAAAAATTTTACAAAACATTAATGTAACATATATTAAGACTCCAATCACTGATAAAATTCTATTTGTTTACCATTTAGTTTCTCGCCTAATATATTTGAGTATCCTTCTAAAATTTGAAATTGGTATATTAAGTTTTTATAGCAATAATATAAGCTTATTTGTGAAAATTTTAGTTTTCCACAAAATAATTAAATTTTATTTTAAGATAAGAAAATTTTTTCACAGTTGTGGACTAGAATTTTGGAAAAAGTTATCTAAATATAAATTTTAGGTTTTAGAATTTTCTAAAAATCTTATCTATATTTTAAATTTTAGAATTTCTAAAATTTTGAATTAAAAATTTAATTTTAATTTATTTTTTTTGCAAAAGTTTTATAAAGATGCTTATATTTTTGCTGTAAATAATAAAAGAATTTTAAGTTTTTTATTACAATAACCTACGACTCATTGTCAAACTACACTGATAGGACTTAAATACCTTAAACTAGATTAGGCTCCTTAATCTAATGGAGCAAGAAACGATTACTACATCCAATTTGGTTAATAATGAAGGTAGCTCACGGAGTATCGATTATCAACGTTAACATATGGGGTTGACAATTTGTGATAACAATATCAACGCAGTCGAGAGCATCTCTAGAACTGCTGCTCAAAAAATTGCGTTTTCCATTATATTCTGGTACTATGTTTGATATGGCGTTGTAATGTTTAAAGTATAGCGACTTTCCATTTAAGGAGCTTATTAAAACTGATAATGTCAAACAATAGTGGTTTGCGCTCTAAGTTGGTTTACCGACATAGCGTTTGTCCGGTTACTCAGTTTACTTGCACAAGTTAATCGTCTAAACATATTAAGTCTCAGTATGAAAGGATCCTCTACAAACCAATTTTTGAGTGAGTAGAATCTGGAGACACTGCTTTTGTTATAGCAATGGTTCTTTCGTGAATACCAGTTCAATTATTGAAGACGACAATTTTTTGTTTTTTTATACAGCTCAGCATTTTATTTCAGTTACTGTTACTCAATACTACCAATTATTTATTGGAAACCACGGCTTCTTGAATGAGTTGATAAAATTTATTTTAAAAATTTCTTTACTAATCTCATCATTATTGGAACTAATTACCTGGCAAACTAAGTGTAATTTGAACTAACTAGCTTAAGGCAATTATGTTGGTTAATACATATTTAAATTATTTGTCCCTATAGACCCTTTTGTGAGAAAAAATTATAAACTCACTTAAAATATTATTCTTTAACTTCAAAATAGAAGCTTCAGCTTTTTAGCTTAACACTAAGAAGATTAAATTCTGGAATAGTTTCGTATTTGAATTTTATTTTAAAAATTTTGTTTGGTGTAATCCTCTAAAATAATTGTGTAACAGGTTGTATTAAAATTTTGCGCGCTAGTTTGTAATACCCAGAGAAAACGTCGGAGTGATTGTATAAAATATTTTATACATACTGTATATGTGATGATGCGTGACGAACTGAGTTGATTTAGCCATGTTCGTCGGTCTGTATTATATGCGAATTAGTTTTTCAGTCTTTGATATGATCCTTGCTGAAATTTTGGAACACGTCTATTCTCTTACAAGAACCTGCTCAATTGTCGAAAGTCAGTGATGGATTGTTGAAGGTAACTCAAATATCTCAAAAAACAAAAAAATTTTCCATATCGGACTTTTCCTTGGCTATATTTTGCCATTAAAAGTGAAAACGATCCCAAAACAAAAGTTCTTATAGGAAAAAACGTTTTTATTCACGAAATTTTGGTAGGACTAAGTCCAAGGCAACGCTAGAATATAATTTTCTGTTCAGGTCATAAGCGGCCGAGATAACAAATATTCATAAATTTTAATTTATTTTTAGAAACTCTCCTTAGAGTATTGTGGTTTTAAATTTTAGTCAATTGTTATCAAAATATTATTTTGATAAATTTCTAAATTAATTCCATAAAAATCTATTATTTTGTTTGTTTTTACACGAGTCATAAATAAAATATATATTGTTCTATTATTATATTTTCCTTGGCAAAGTCTTTCTAATAATGTCAAGATAATCAAAACTTCTTATTATTCAAAATCACTCTACAAGTTAACACTGTCAAACTATTATAATACAAACAAACATGTAGTCTTTTAAAGTGTTACATTCTGCATTCGAAACTCTTCAACAAAAAACTTAGAATACACATATGCTCGTTAAAGAATTCCAAAATAATTTATAAAATGTGACTAGAAATGTAAATGTTTACTCAATTAACATTATAAATACTTAAATTTTCAAATAATTATTACGAAATATAAGGAAAATGCCCAAACAAAAAAGAACAAATATAACAAATAAAAACCATACAAGGGAGTTTTATACTGAAATAAAAGTAAATGTTACAAAATCAGTGAAGAACTTAAAACGAAATTAAGTCATTATGCATGTAAAGCTATTACGCTATCTAAGGTATTTAAGGGATTACACACTGTACATGCATAAGCGTTAGTTAAGCCGTAATTCTTTAAAAAATATACAATAACTGTAAGCAAAATTACAACGACAATGGGAGTTATTCAAACAAAATACATAGACGTAAGCATAAAAATATAAATTGTAAGTCAAGCAGCACAAGGAATATTGAGAACAAAAACAAAAAAAAGTAAAATTGTAGTAATGATATGTGAGCAAGGAATATTAAATAAGAAAGTTTATTGCAATATGAATGAAAGGCAACATAAAATGCTAAGAAAAGGAGAGACAAAAAACCCAAATGACATTACAGCACATTTATCAAAGAGAATCAACAACTTAACGCATACTCTAATGAATAAATGACAGTTGAGGAAATTGCTAAAAACACTATTAGCATTGCCATTGA